TCCTGCCTCAGCCTGCCAGGTAGCTGGGACTACGGGTGCCTGCTACCACACCCACTAATTTTTGTATTTTTAATAGAGATGGGGTTTCACCATGGCCAGGCTGGTCTCGAACTCCTGACCTTGTGATCTACCCACCGCGGCTTCCCAAATTGCTGGGATTATAGGTGTGAGCCCCTGCGCCTGCCCCCCCCACTTTTTAAAATAGAGGTTGCAAACTGACAGACTTCGGAAAGAATACAGCCTGCAGATACTTTTGTTTGGCCCCCACAGTATTTGTTTATTGTTTTTACACATGATGTAGTTGCGAACATTTAAAACAATGGCGCTTTAAATAAAGTTTTAAATGTTTGGCTTCTTTTGGAAAAATGGAAAGGTTGGTCCTCTCTGGGTCAGCCTTCCTCTTGGTGGCAGTTAGCTGCATCTGGGTAGAAGCTGCTCCTTTAGCCAGGCTGTGGGCGCCAGGTTGCCACGGTCTCCAACACTCCCTATTGTTAGTAGACGTGGAAGACAAGTGTCACTTGCCACATTAATTTCTTTTCTTATGGCTGTTATATCACCTGCCTGGATCCTGAGACCCCTAATTAAGCCATAATTAAAAGTCAATGTTATCTCACTCTGTTCCCTCATCAGTCACATAGTCTTAAAAGTTGTACCTTTTTTTGTCACTTCAGCCCATGCCTTCCTAACCAGCCTTTAGCTCTGCGTAGGACTGGGAGAGAATAACTTATTTCCCCATGTAACATTTATTTTCATGCCTTTCTTGTGTTGTGAGATTTCATATTCCTACTTGCTTGGCCTTGTCAAATGTCTGATATAAGGGGCATTTTTATTATGGTTGTAACATATCTTTGTAACCTTAGCTTGCATTTTTAAAAACAGTACCTCATTCTCTGGGCATCAGTCGATGTATCTTCCCTTTGCCAGGACTTCAGGAATGGGGGACTCCAGGCCAGCTAGCTTTGTCTCACATTGCCTGGGGCCCTGCCTTGCTGCTGGAAGCTGGGTATTTCACTCTTTGCTAGGCATTCTGGTTTATGGGGCAGCACAGCCACCCAGCCTCTAAAGGGTCAGGGAGCAAATGTTTCTAAAGCCAATGGGCTGGAGGAAAGAGGGCCCCCTTGTGTGAGAGCAGACACTGAATGCTTTGTTGCAACTCAACTTGGTTGCAGATGGGCTCTTACTTCGGCTCCTCCTTGTGCGCAGTTGACCTGAACGGGGACGGCCTCTCTGACCTGCTGGTGGGGGCCCCCATGTTTTCTGAGATCAGGGATGAGGGACAGGTCACCGTCTACATCAACAGAGGAAATGTGAGTACAGTGCTGGGGAACGTGGGGATGGGTGTTGGGGAGGGACATTTGTCCAGCAAGTAGTGGCCGAGCACCCGTCTGGGTGGGCCCTGGGCCACGTTACCCAGAGGAAATGAAAATATGTGATTTCTGTCTTGAATAAGCTCCGTGGTCCATTAATGGAAAGTTATATACAATGTTCCAACTGCAGACACATGGGCCAAGGAGGAGTCTTAATAATTGTCTTTTGAGTGCTTTCCATGCACCAGGGACGCTTCTTCCTCATTTCTGTGAGAGATTTTGATGCGGTGTCCACGTGGTGCCAAGGGTGCCTATTTTTCAGGTGAAAAAACTGAGGCCCAGAGTGGTTAGGTAATGTGTCCCAAATCACACAGCTGAGAAGCGGGGCTGGGATTTGAACCTAGGCAAGCTGGCTCAGAGCTGGCATGCTTCGTCTCAAGGTGATGCCACCTCTCTAGGAGCATATGCACATCTTCCCAGAGAAGCAGAGGAGGACGCAATGGCTGTGGAATCTTGAAGAAGGAGTGGGAGTTGGCAGACAGGCAGGGTGGGCTAGGGCGGAGCTCCCAGTGGGGAGCTGGGCAAGTGGGTTGGGGTGTGAGGCAGCAGCACCACTCACTTCAGCATGGAGGGGCAGGGGACTGTGTGGGAGCCATAGTCTCTTTTTTCTTTTCTTTTTTTTTTGAGACAGAATTTCACTCCATCACCCAGGCTGGAGTGCAGTGGTGCAATCTTGGCTCACTGCAACCTCTGCTTCCCAGGTTCAAGCGATTCTCCTGCCTCAGCTTCCCAAGTAGCTGGGACTACAGGCATGGGTCACCATACTTGGCTAATTTTTGATGTGTTTTTAGTAGAGATGGGGTTTCACCATGTCACCCAGGCTGGTCTCAAATTCCTGAGCTCAAGTGATCTGTCTTCCTTGGCCTCCCTGGGATTACAGATGTGAGCCACCATGCCCGGCCAATAATCTTGATGTCCCCTATTCTGCAGAACCATGAGAGGGATGTGACATGGACAGAAAGATGCCTGTGGCCCTCTGCAGCCAGTGTGGGGGAGGGGGTGGGGGCTGGGTTGGGGGACAGCAGTGCATTGTGGAGGCAGGAGACCAGTGAGAAAGCAGTGTTTTCAGGATCTGGAAGTACAAGTATTCAATAAGAGGGAGATGGTTCATTGAAAACACTCTGGTGCTGCCAACCTTTTATCCAACATCGGAAAATGCTTATGAGGTAATCAGTTGAAAAACAGTATAAAAACTGCATGTACAACCAGTCCTTAAAAATAAGCCAAATACATAGGGAATGTGAATAACGACTCTCTGTTTAGTTTTATCTAAACATCTCCCATATAGTGAAAATGTCATACTTCCATAATAAAAAAAGTCGGTCAAAGTATACTGTTAAGAGTGTCTGAGATGCTAGGTATCCCAGTCAGGAGAGGACAGTGGTTTCACTGTAACTAACTGGGCAGGTGCCGGAAAGGAAGGAAGCAGGAAGAGGAGAGCCAGGGGCTGTCAGAGCCTTATTTTCACGCTGAGGTTTTCAGGCTCTTCAGGAAGGCAGATCTAAAACCAGGAGGCTTTGAGAGGCCAAGGCAGGAGGCTCACTTGAGGCCAGGAGTTCAAAACCAGCCTGGACAACATGGTGAAACCCCATCTTTACTAAAAACACACAAAAAAGGATCTAGAACCAGAAATACCATTGCAATCCCATTACTGGGTAAATACCCGAAGGATCATAAATCATTCTACTGTAAAGACACGTGCACACGTATGTTTATAGCAGCACTGTTCACAATAGCAAAGTCTTGGAACCAACCTAAATACCCATCAGTGATAGACTGGATAAAGAAAATGGGACACATATACACTGCAGAATACTATACAGCCATCAAAAAGGATGAGCTCATGTCCTCTGCAGGGACATGGATGAAGCTGGAAACCATCATTCTTGGCAAACTAACATAGGAACAGAAAACCGAACACTGCATGTTCTCATAAGTAGGAGTCGAACAGTGAGAACCACATGGACACAAAGAAGGGAACACCACACACTGGGGCTAGGGGAGGGACAGCATTAGGAGAAATACCTAATGTAGATGATGGGTTGATGGGTGCAGCAAACCACCATGGCATGTGCATACCTATGTAACAAACCTGCATGTTCTGCACATGTATCCCAGAACTTAAAGTATAAAAAACAAAAACAAAAAAAAACAGCCAGGTGTGGTGGTGCTTGCCTGTGGTCCCAGCTGAGGCTGAGGTGGGAGGATTGCTTGCGTGCGGACAGTGGAGGCTGCAGTGAGTCGTGATCATGCCACTGTACTCCAGCCTGGGTGACAGAGTGAGAGCTTGTCAATCAGTTAATCAATTAGTCAACAAGCCAACAAGCAAGGTACAGTGGTGGCTGCCTGTAGTCCTAGCTATTCAGGAGGCTGAGGTGAGAGGATCCCTTGAGCACAGGAGCTTGAGGCGGTAGTGAGCTATGACTGCACCACTGCATTCCAGCCTGGGCGAGAAAGTGACTCTGATTCTAAAACAAATAAAATACCTGGGAGGGCAGGTGCTTATTGGCACCTGTTGCAAGAACCCTTGTCACCTGCAACCCCACTGACATTCCAGGAGGTCACAGCAGGGTGCAGGGAGAAAGGAGGGCATATTACACAGATGAGTGCTATGGGCATTCAATGGTGCCTGCTCTTATATTTGCAGGAGACTGAGACATTGTGTGGGAGTCAGGTCCAACAGGCAGACTGTGTCTAAATCAGGAAGTGGACACTTTAACTCTTTTTTTCTTTTTTTTTGAGATGGAGTTTTGCTTTTGTTGCCCAGGCCAGAGTGCAATGGTGCGATCTCAGCCCACCCCAACCTCTGCCTCCCGGGTTCAAGCGATCTGCCTCAGCCTCCGAAGTAGCTGGGATTACAGGCATGCACCGTCTCGCCCGGCTAATTTTGTGTTTTTAGTAGAGATGGGGTTTCTCCATGTTGGTCAGGCTGCTCTTGAACTCCCAACCTCAGGTGATCTGCCCACCTTGGCCTCCCTAAGTGCTGGAATTACAGGCATGAGCCAGCGCGCCCTGCTAGGAGGTGGACTCTTGAAGCACAAGAATTTCCCCCAGACCTCCATGGGCACAGTGTACCTACACTCTCCCTGCCAACCAGCGTTCTTGATGTGTGGTTATTCTGAGTACCAGGGTATTCTCATTTCTGTTGAATTTTAGCCATTTGAATAAAGATCGGAAGGCAGGGTGGAGGAGGGGAAAAATGCTGACTTCGCAGCAAGGTGGACCTGAGTTTGAGTCTTGGTTTTGCCACATCCTAGCCTGTGTGATGTGGGTGAACAGCTTGAAATTGGTGGCCCAGTTTCCTTATCTGGAAAGTGAGAGGCATCGTAAGACTTTCCTTATAGAGTCGTTGTGTGATTTGAATGAGGAGCTGGCCCTACGGTGCCTGGTGCGTAGCAGGAGTCCGTTGCTGGTGTTCCCCTTCTCTTCCCCACCACACTGAGAGAAAGAAATGAATGCATATTTGTGTTTTGGGGTGGAGGTTTCATTGACCCAAGAAATCATCATGCCTTTATTGTTTTCAAGTTGTAAATTGTGTTTGTAGTGAAAAAGAAGACTTGGTCATGATAAAAGCCAGACACTCACGAAATGGCCTGTGGACATAGTGGGTCCAGAGTGCCTCTGCGCTGGGGAAGGTGTGTCTCATCCCTCAAGACAGACTGCATTGTATCACTCTGGTATTCACGTGCCAGTGATCTGGGATGAGACTGGGTATGACTTTTTCACCCAAAGTCAGATGACTTTTCTTGCCTTTGTACACCATCCACCCCCTCCCTCTGATGATTAGTATTTTCTCTGGAAATTCGTACCTGAGCCATGCATGAGTGATAGGCACAGTGATGTCTGCACCACAGCACCCCCTGGCCAAGAGTGACTGGGTGCTTGGATTTTCTGAACCATGAGTCCCTGTATCAGGATAATTTATACATGCGCCTTATAAAACATCTTTATAAACTTGTACCAAAAGGCACAGGAAAGAAAAACAATAGAAAAATGTATACCCTTTTAGAATAACTTTGGGGAAAATGCTATCCCCGAAGGAAAGCTGAGAGCACACTGGGGACAGGTGGGTAGGGAGGTTTGCTTTTATATAGAGCATTAGGACAAGGGGGAGGTGTAGTCACTGGCTGCCATGACATTCTCCTTCCCTGAAAACGTGTCTCAGGCTATGGGAGACCATCCTGTCGAGCAGGTAAAAGGGACTCATTTTACCAGCAGGAGGGAGAAGCTTGGGTTCCTGCGATTCTGCCCAGGTGTTTCCTGTCGATGAGTGTGTTCTACCAGGGAAGCGTTCAAGCTCTGGTTCTTTAATTGTTTTTATGGTTTGTTCTATTTGTTTTTGTTTTGTTTTCCATCTTCTCCTCCATCCTGTTTCCCAGGGAGCCCTTGAGGAGCAGCTGACTCTCACCGGGGACGGTGCCTACAATGCACACTTTGGAGAGAGCATCGCCAGCCTGGGTGATCTGGACGACGATGGCTTCTCAGGTGAGCGAGTGCTCCTGGTGCGCGGGGCCCTCCAGCTGCAGCACATGGCCCGGCTTCGGAGGGGCAGCCTGCCCTCCAACTGTCGGTCTCCAGTGGCATGCTCCCGGTCTCCGGGCCCACTCCAAAGGCCCATCACTGTGCAGTGGGGAGAGAGGACACGTTTGGAGATGCTGTCTGTGTGGACGCTCAGGATCGAGCTTCCAGCCCGCTGGAGTTTTGCCTCTGCATAATCCCTTCTCACCAGCTCAGTGTTCTTTGTTGTTTGCATGGAAGCAAACCTTGGGACTGGTCCATCTGGGGCTTCTTATGGCAGAGAAGCTTGGACAGCTTCCTCCTGCCACCAACTCTCCTTGTCTCTGAGCCTTCGATGCTCCATGATGCTCTACCATGTTGATGGGGAAATGAGTGAGGAGAGAATTAGAGACCTAGGCATCTTCTCCCTGATTATAGCAGCAGCTGGGTTGCCTTTTGAGAGTGTGCGTGTGTGTGTGTGTGTGTTCATGCGTGTGTGTGTGTGTGCATGCATGCGTGTGTGCATGCATGCGTGTGTGCGTGTGCGTGTGTGTGTGTGTCTGTGCGTGTATGTCTTGGGAGGCGTGGAGGCATATGTACCTAGGTCTGTTTGGACAGCAGTGCTCCTCACAGGCTCTTGGCCTCTCTCTCTGTCTCGCTGCATACACGGCATACAGACGTGGGGAGGTGGAGCAGCCATGTCACCAGGGAATATGGTGGTGGAGGTGGGGCAGCCCTTGCCCAGGCCAGCCATCCAGACGTCTTCAGTACCTCATGCCACTGCCACAGAGAGCTTCGTTTTGCTCCCCTTTGGCCTCGCTTCTGCAGACACATGGCTTTGTTAGAAGCAAGGGAAAAAGTTAGGAAGCTCTAGGCTTTGTTCTAGGAGTTGCCAGTTTGTGAGAGGAATGTTTCTTGTGTGTGAAGTGAATGCCCTTCTCTGGGTTTCCTTTATCCAGGAGTAGGGTTGACTTTCTCAGTTATGCAATCACCATTGTCTATGGAACTCTCCCTTATGGAAATTAGGGCAGGTAGATTATATTTGCATTTATTTTATTTGATGGGTCAGTGATTTTTCTTATGAGCAGAAGGTAGAAACTTTTTTGGAACTAAACTCTTAGCTTCTATAGGCTTCGCTGTACTTTTTTTTTTTTTGCTTTGAGATGGAGTCTCTCGCTCTGTTGCCCAGGCTAGAGTGCAGTGGCACAATCTCGGCTCACTGCAACTTCTGCCTCCTGGGTTCAAGCGATTCTGTTGACTCAGTCTCCAGAGTAGCTGAGACTATAAGTATGTGCCACCATGCCCAGCTAATTTTTGTATTTTTAGTAGAGATGGGGTTTTGTGATGTCGGCCAGGCTGGTCTTGAACACTTGACCTCAGACAATCTGCCCGCCTTGGCCTCCCAACGTGCTGGGATTACAGGCATGAACCACCACAGCAGGCCTACATTTTTTTTCTGTCAAGAGATCATGTGTCTAAATTAATGGTTGAATAATCAACAACCAAGACTTTCTGGTATCCAGGGGCTCAGACGTGATAACCAGAATTCAGGAAGCTTTGCTTATATTATTCATGTGGCTTTTTAACCCATAGCTGTTTTTCTACCCTCAGATGTGGCCATTGGCGCACCCAAGGAGGACGACTTCGCAGGGGCGGTCTATATCTATCATGGTGATGCCGGTGGGATAGTCCCTCAGTACTCAATGGTAATTGGCATGGGAGTGATATGGCAACTGTTCATACATTCATTCAACAAACATGTATGGAACCTTCATTATGCACCATGCCCTGGAGGTACAAAGAAAAACAACATCTTTCTGACCTTGACCTTCCCACCTTTTAGTGAAAGACACAGTTAATATTGCTTATTAAATACTAAGAAAAGCGTTCTTAGAATTCCAAGTTTTGCTCATGCTCAGGGATGCATTTTGCCTAAAGAAGATAATTTTCAACTCTTACTCAGAGTTAGAGCCATTTATTTAAGAAAGGAAAGGAAGCTTTCTCTTTTTGGTGACTCCTTTGTCAATCATCTATGCTAAGCCAAGGGAATATGTTTTAAAATATTATCTAGAAGGACAGTGGTCCATGGTGGAGAGACCTGAAACTGATCACAGGCTGCTGTCCCAACTGGCCTTAAAACCAGGAGCCGGTTAGGACTCTGCCCTTGCACCCAGGCTTGGGAACATGGAAGTGGTGAGTTCTGTTTTTTGCCATATCAGCTTGGTGTTCAATCTTGCTGATGGTGTCAAGTCCAGCCCATGGGAAAAAAGGAAGTCATGCTCTCAGCAGAAGCATTGTCAGGATATTTGAGGATGTCTGCGTGTGGCATGGCACTGGGTCAGGTCTTACTCCCAGTGGGTCAGAGACAGAAGGGGACACACCCTGAGAAATTTCCAGCAACAGATATTTATTTATTGAACACGTATTACGTCCTAACTACTTCCCACTCGTATGTATGTATTTACATTTTAATTTTAAGAGGCAGCATGTAAATGTAAGTACAACTTCTACATGAATAATTGTCCTTGCGGCAGATAGAGATAAGCTAATTAAGGGTGGCGGGTTGGTTTGTTGTCATTCCTGCTTCAGATCCCCTCTCTGCCAGCCTCCTGCTGAGCTCAGTGCTTCACCTGCAGGAGACAGGGCTTTGGGAAGAGGAGGGACTGTTTCGTGGATGTGTGCTCTGCCCTTTCTTTGTCGTTAACCTTCACAGCAGCCATGAGATGGGTCCGTTTATTATCCACCATTTACCTATGAGGTGACTACGGCCCAAGGAGGTTATTTAACTTGCCCCAGGTCGCAAGTGGCAGCATGGCCACAGCATCTTTGCCAGTCTGATGCCGTGACTTTGACTGTAACCACCATCCTCAACTCCACATTGCAAAAAGGAGCACTCAGAAGCTCAGGAGGGAAGGTTACCAATGTGGAAACGATTTTGCCGTGAGGCATACACAGTCTGAGGGGCATTTACCTATCCACACCATCCCCTTTTCATTAGGAATACATAACGGTGGGGTTCATACACTCTTTGGTGATTCAGCCTACAAGGCAGGAGGAAGGGGTTTGGGCAAAGTTCGGGGGCCACATCTGAGAACTGCCCTAGGCTGAGTCAGGGATGCTCTTCCCAGTGTGACAAGCTGAAAGTCATCCAAGGAGCCCCGTGCTCGGGCGGTGGTCAAGGTCACCCTCCATGCATCCTCCGGGAAGCTTGTTTTCCTGGACCTCGGAAGCCAATCACACAGAGGGGCAGCCTGTGGGAGACCCTGGCTTCCCCTCCTCCAGGGCCCTCCAGTGTTTTGTTTGGTTGCTGGGTGGAATCCCTGCAGAGAACCACAGTATAACTCTTGTGGTCAGCATGGAGCGTCTTTAGTAGGAAGCAGGGATAGCAGCTGGACCAGCCTGCCTTTGTCAGCATGCAGGCGGGCTCCTTCGCTTTGACAAAGAGAAGTGCTTTTGGGCCCGTAAGGAAAAAAAAAAGAAAGAAGCAACCATGATTATACTTTTCCAAGCTGCCAATATGTATATAAGGGCAGTGATTTAAATGGAAAAACAAGCCTTTAATGGCAGATTCTTGCAGGCCCAGGTCCTGGCCAGAGCAGGCATCATGTGGGGGAGCTAGAGGAAGGGATCAGAAGCAACTCTGGGCAATGGAATTGCTTTGCTTTGGCCCAGATCGGTATTATTTCTGCTGGGTAAATTGTGAGATCGGGGCCTACACGTCTTCCACATTGCTCTTTAACTCTCTCTTGAGTTTACCAAGGAGTGTGTTGATTTTTAGATCCTCGTGTGCCTTTCCTAATTTGAGAGCCCTCCGGACATGTGGTAGCCCCTGTGATCCTTCTCTTGCTGTAAGGGACATGGCATAGAAACCTGGTCAAGTGGAGGTTTCCAGGGCTCGTGGTTTTCATTTAGGGTTATTAGCACTGGGCAGACTTATCTTCTTGGCTTTATAGCACAATGACCTGCAGATGTTGGTGGAATAACCAAAGCCTGCCTCATCACCCCCAGATGGACCACCCCTTCACTCTCCCCCTCGTCCCAACCACAGCATACACCTTAGAAATGTAGACCCAGGGCAAGCTGCTGCTAGAGTTCTTGGACTTCAGAGCCGAGAGGGTCTGCTTCAAAACATGGCTTTTAAGAAATGTGCAGACACGCATACATGTTTGTTTAGACAGAGCCTTGTGGGATGTAGGGCTCTGCGTGTTAGCGTGAAACATTTCTGTAGTGTTTCCTGCAGTGTTCTTATTTGTACTTTGATGCCTGCACATTTCCTGTTGGATGGCTTAACTGAGGATGGCAGGCAGCCCTCTCTGATCGCTTCTAGGAGGGTTATTTGCAGTTATCAGCAGCTGGGGTCAGGGGGCATCCCTGGGACCTCCATCTGCAGATCCTGTGGAAACTCCCCACTCCCTGCCTTCCTGACTTCTCTGCAGGATGACTCAGTAAAGAGAAGGGTAAGGAAAGAAAGTCAAAGCGAGCCCCTAGGTACCTGGGAATCTGGTTCTGTTGTGCTTTGAAAGCTAAGAATTTCTCTTACCCTTCACAGCGAGGGCATCAGGAGGTGAGCCTCCCCGAGGAGATTGTGCAGATAGAGGCAGAAGGAGTAGGTCAGACCCTAGAAGATGGGACTTTTCTGATTCAGGAAGTTCAGTATCTTTGTGAGGAACTGTGCCACACGAATGTTCATGCACAGCTTCAGTGTGCGACAAAGGCTGTTTGTACCACAAATATTGTTGAATCAGTGCTGCCTGTGTGGATGTGCGATGAACTCAATGATGAGTAAAAAGTGAGCACGGCCAGGAATGGTGGCTGAAACCTCAGTCCCCTGGGAGGCTGAGGCAGGAACATCATTTGAGGCTTGGAGTTTGAGACCAGCTTGGGCAATGTGGCGAGATCCCGTCTGACAAAATATGAAAGAGCTGGGTATATTGGAGCATGCCTGCAGTCCCGGCTACTTGGAGGCTGAGGAGGGAGGATCACTTAAGCCCAGGAGTGGGCTATGATTGTGCCATTGCATTCTAGGCTGGGCAACAGAGTAAGACTCCATCTCTTAGAAAAAAAAAAAAGAAAGTTTCATTTTTAAAAAAACATATAAAGTAAGCATAGATGTGAGTGTGTCTCATAGTAAAGTTGTAAACTCTGGTTAGTTGAGGGGGCTGTCTTTTAGAGGGGAGGGCATCTTCAGCTGAGTTTTTAAGATTTCCTACAGTTGAAGAAGGTTCAGGACCATGGAGTTCTAGATTTACCAGGTAAAACTGTTCCCTCCTGTTTGTAAAGCTCCAGAATCTATAGATCTGGTTGGCTGGTTGGAGAGGAAGTTTCCACATGGTCATCTTTTCCAGTTAGACATGTGAATTACCTGTCTGTCTAGGGAAAGACTCTGTAATGTGTGCCTCTTAGGAGTGGGGTGTTAAATATTTAGTACATAGTTGGGAAGAAAGAGAGAAGGTAAATGTGTTCTTAGAATTTCAGCTAGCGACACCTGTGTAAAAACAAACAGAACCTCCATTAGGAATGGAAGTTAAACTTTATCCATGTTGAACTTCAACATGTCAAAACATTATCACGGTAGTCTAGGTGGATTTTTTCATTAGCACAGAACTTAGACAAATTTTTAAATGATGACATTTGGCCAAGGCAAGTCGTAATAAAGGAGTAGGTGGTCTTCAACTGCCTGCTAAAGACTTGCCGATCCCATTAGGATTCCTTTTTTTTTCTTTCGACAACTTTAGGACCAAGTATCCTAGGGAAGCTGGAATAAAGCAGTCACAGTTCTTATTTGTGACTGTGGACCTTTCCTGTGACTCCATTTCCCTATTATCTGTTTCAGAAACTGTCTGGGCGGAAGATAAATCCAGTGCTCCGGATGTTTGGCCAGTCCATATCGGGAGGGATTGATATGGATGGAAACGGCTATCCTGGTAAGCTGTTTTTCTTTAAGGGCACGTGAGATAAATGAAGATAAATGCATGAAGTAGAATAATTTTCAGTCTGGTTAGCAATCATCACATCCATTTAGGATTAGGACAGTTCACACAATAGAACAGGGTGTTTTGCCTGGTGTTCAATTTTAAGGTGAAAATAATGTTGACATTTATTTTGGGGTTTTAAAATGATCTACTCTGTAGGGCTTAGCACCAGGAGGGTGGATTTTTATAGTGGTTTCTGTGGCAGTAATTCCATTGAAGAAAAAAAGCACTGGCCACATCTAAAATTGTGAGTAGTGAAACCTCCTGTTTTCCTTTGTGCTTAACCGTATTCAAAGGCTTCTTACTCTTGGAGGGAAAAGGAGCAGCACCCCCCAGCCATGTCTCTCGCCCCTGCTCTTGAAAAAAATTATTGAGGAAGATTCGGAGTAAAAAGAAAACCATGTCCTCTTGTGCGTGGACACAGTAGACCTTTACCATCCGAAGCTGGCTGGCTTGGCTTTAGGGTGAATTAATACCTGTGGTGGTTGTGGCTAACTGGATAAAAAGACATGATTTCAAACCCAACCCCAAGTGATACCTGGCTTCGGTCAAATTGCCTGGGTGGTGGAGTAGTGGTTCTTCAGGTGTTTCAAGATGAAGTGGGGTAAGGTGAGGAAACAACAGTAAGAATTTGGAAAAATTCAGAATGGTCATGGAATTCAGGAAACATTTCCCTGAATTTTGTACTCATCTTTCTTTTGCGAAACATTTCTTTCCACTAAAATTTAAGAAAACGAATGCAGTCTTATATGAGGACACCACATTTGTGTATTTTTGTATAGATAAAAATTTTGGACATTCCTCAAGAGTACAGAGCCAAGAGGAAGAGTGGGAATAGAAAGAAGTCAGTGTTGAAGCTTTTGTCCCAAGATAGATCCTTGTGGGTCTTTTTAACTTTGAGAAAGCGGTTCTTGTTCTGGGCAATTTGTGGCCACCCCCAAATAGTATCTTATATGGGTTTAGCATTTAATATGTACAAAATGCTTCCATATGCAATGTGCATCTCACAGGGACCCCAGCAGGTAAGTAGGATAGGGTGTTTTCCCCACATTGTAGACAAGGATACTGAGACTCGATGTGAGGGACTGCCCAGAGCCTTCAGGGCACAGGGACCCAGGCTTCCCAGTGGTTCCGCGGCTTTTCTGTAAACGTGAGGTGAGCAAGGTGTTCACCGTTCACAACACATCGGAATTTCTCATCTTGTGTTTTTCATAAGGAAATTGACAAATTTATCAGGTTCTTTTATTTTCAAACATACGGCTAATTTATAAAGACTACTGAAAAACAAAATTAATAAATACACCCAGGTGGAGAAATTGCAGGAACACTATAATTCGTGGATTTGCCTTTTGTTTTTCCTTAATGAGGGCATCATATAGATGCTCAGTGCATTTGTGATGTACACAGATTGAGACCCTCTTGGACTCAGATGCCTGGTTCTGTGAAGCAATAGTGGGAACCCAGGGCCAGGGGTTTATATTGCCAGGTTGGGTTGGTGGGGAGAAAGGCATAGAACCACTGGAAGAATAAGTACTTCCTAAATTAAAGTTATTTAGGAATAAACATTGCCAGTTAAGCCAGGGTCTTGGTTTATAGCTTACCAAGTATTTTTATGAATTTTCTGACTTAAATATCTAATTTCATGTATTTCTTAAATATTTACTATAAATCTAGTGAGTACTTAATGAATATTACATAATGACTAATAAATATTTTCTGATTTAAATGTAATGAAATACTGTCAGCTTTTGAAGAAGGTCCTGGGGATAATTAGCTTCATTTTACAGACATACCATGAGATACTCAGGTCACAGAGAATCAGGGGTGGAGGGTGATGATTCCATGTACTTCAGAGCCTAGAGCATTTTCCAAGAGTCACTGAATTCTAGGTATGTCTTTCTCTAATTCACTGATGTCGAAAGAAGTATAAACCATATGTGTAATCTAAAATATTCCAGTAATTACATAAAAAGATAAAAAAAACGAATTTTAATAATGTTTTTAGCCCAATATAGCCAACATATCATTTCAACATAAAACCAATATGAAAGTTATTAGTGAGGTAGCTAATGGTTCTCTGTACTAGGTCTTTGAAAAGCGGAGTGTATTTTACACTTAGAGCACCTCTCAACTGAGACCAGCCACATTTCAAGGCCTCAGTAGCCTGTGTAGTTGGCTGCCACGTCGGAGAGGGTGGCTTCCATTCTTACTAGATCATTGTGTAGCCCAGACAGCGGCTGTCAGAGGGCTCTCTGGCCTCCAGGCTGGGCCTCCATCCTTGTAGGGTGCCTTTCCAGGGGGTGGCTGGGTAGGGGCTTCAGCAAGTTTCTGAATGCTGTAAACCTCTCATTTTCAGATGTCACTGTTGGAGCCTTCATGTCCGACAGCGTGGTTCTTCTCAGGTGAGAGGCCTCACTCTTGCTTCTTGGATTGTGCTGTTCAGCGGGAGGGATGGAGCCATTCACCATTCACGGGCTCTTCCCTCTGTCCTGTCCCTTGTCGGCTGGAGGTGCTTACTAAGTGGAAATACTACTTTATTTTCTCGTCTTAATTATTCTGTATCCCAGAGATTCTAGCTGTGGCCTTGAATGGCTTATAGGTATGAGATGATAGCATCCTGGGAGCTTCTAGGTAGGGATTGGGGTAGCCTAACTCTTAAGCCCTAAAGCTATTTGCCTTTGGCCAAGAACCTTCCATAATGTGCCATACGAATATTTTATTATTTCCTGCGGGTGCTGGGAAGCACTGTTCATTCTGTCTCTTCATCTGTACACCTGCTTTCTCACCTGTAGTCAGTCCGCAGCACCCCAGGGACCGGGAGCCTCCTGCCCATTAGACAGCATGTCATTCCCTGTTGGCAGCAGAGGTGAGAGACGTGAGCCGAGGCCCAGAGCTTGCTGAGGCCCGTGCAGTCTGGATCTCTCCTGCAAAAGCCACTGGGCCGCCGCCACCATCTGTGAACCCTCTCCAAGTATTTCCAGCTGTATGAGTCAGAGGAGGCAGAATTACACTTTGGAGTGGGAGCCAATTCTTAGGTTTTGTTAATAACCTGATGGCAGAACTTTCTAAAATAGGCTAGTAGAATGTCAGAGCTGGAAGGGATCCCAGAGGCCATGTGGTTCGACACCCCAGATCCTTCTTATTCAGCAGTACCTTCTGCAGGTCTCCACTGCAGGGCCACGGCCTCCTGTTGGAGCGAGATACCCATGAGTGGGAGCCCAGTTACTTCTAAGGGAACCAGCTTGCCCTGGGAAATGTTAAATCTTAAATTACTGAAGAGGCAGAAGAGCCTTGAGGCTGAGTGTGAACTCAGGGGCCAGGTGGCCGGGTTCAAACCCTGACTCTGCCCTAAGTAGGTGACTTTCCTGGGCAAGTCCCCTGACCTTTCTGTTTCAGGATTCTCCTATGTTGTCCAGGACAGCAATACAGATGCTCCTTGACTTAGGATGGGATTATTTCCAGATAAACCCATCCTAAGTCAAAACATGGTGTTTTTAACTGAGGACAGTTTTATCCAGATGTAGCTTCATTGTAAGTCAAGGAGTGTGTTGCATTCCTATGGCTTTCCTACGGTTGTGAAGTTGAAAAAGTCAGGGACCATCTGCAGTACATGTAAAATGTTCAGGCTGGGCACAGTGGCTCACGCCTGTAATCCCAGCACTTTGGGAGGCCGAGGCAGGAGGATCACAAGGTCAAGGGATCGAGACCATCCTGGCCAACATGTTGAAAACCCATCTCTACTAAAAATACAAATATTAGAGGGATGTGGTGGCACACACCTGTAGTCCCAGCTATTCAGGAGGCTGAGGCAGGAGAATCGCTTGAACCCGGGAGGCAGAGGCTGCAGTGAGCTGAGATCACACCACTATACTCCATCCTGGTGACAGAGCAAGACTCTGTCTCAAAAAAAAAAAAAAAAGTTCAGAACAGTGCCTGGTTTAACTGCTTAATAAATGTTAGCAAGTTTTATGTAAATTGGGTTAAATTTGCCTCCCTAAAATTCTGCTTCTTGGGCTTGTGTCTTTTACATAGCAGCCCTTCAGTATCTGAAGATGGCAATTGAGTCCCCTAAGTGGTGACTTCCCTAAGATAAGGCCTCCCTGGTTCCTGTAATTACTTCCCATGTGACTGGATTTTCACTTTCTTTATCAGCCCTTCCTCTGGGTAACACAGCTTCTGTGCTCCAGATGACTGAGGTTAGACAGTGAAGCTGGTTGCTCTGCTTGGTGCTTTCATGATGTCTTCTTTGCTCTCTTCATTATCCTGAGCACCTTACTTTGGTTTGTCAGGATGCTTCTCAAACAAAACACGCTCCTCAACTTCTCACAGTTGAAAACCAGCCCTCTTAAATCCTGGCCCATCTGGCTGGAGGCCCATCATGTAGACTGTGCTCTCTCACCATTCTTGTATTTTTCAGTCTTTTTGCTGTGAGCTTCTTTTTCTCTCCATGGTGAGGGACAGCCTTCTCCAGGGGTTTGCTCACATAAGGATGTGAAGTAAAGCAAGGCAGTTACATAGTGGGTGGGAGACCCCAGCCTCCAGCCTGGGATGAAGGATTGAATCTAGTGAGTTGGAGCTCAACAGGGACAAACGTAAAGTTCTTCAAGGAGAACTCCAGGCAGAGCACATACTAAGAGAAGAGGCCTAGGGAGAGCCCGGGGAGCCCTGCCCTGAGCAGGAGGTCTAGGGAGAGCCCGGGGAGCCCTGCCCTGAGCAGGAGGCCTAGGAGAGAGCCCGGGGAGCCCTGCCCTGAGCGAGAGGCCTAGGGAGAGCCCGGGGAGCCCTGCCCTGAGCGAGAGGCCTAGGAGAGAGCCCGGGGAGCCCTGCCCTGAGCAGGAGGCCTAGGNGGGGAGCCCTGCCCTGAGCAGGAGGCCTAGGAGAGAGCCCGGGGAGCCCTGCCCTGAGCAATAGGCCAAGAGAAGGCCCAGGAAGAGTGGTTAGGCCACGGCAGCCGCCGAGGAGCATGTAGGGAAGTTGTGGTCCCGGTAATCCATTCTCTTATTCATTCGGCTAAAGTCTGTTGACCTTTTGAGACGCAGCCACACATCAGATCCGGGGATTTGATGCGGAACCTGACCTGGCCCCTGACCTTAGATTATAGCCGGGGAGCTATTTGCAAGTGAATAATAATGCAATCAATGTGGTAAGCTGCCGTAGCATGCCCGGCGTGGTGCGAGCTCTTCATGTGTGTTCATTCTTTGTTGTTTTCTTTTTATATGAAGGTGGAATTTGCATACAGTAAAATGCACCAATTTGAGTGTATGGCTCCCTGAGTTTTGACCACTCACGTACTGTGTGACTACCACTGCACCACGATAAAGAATACTTCTGTCACCGCGGAGAGTTTCCTGTGCCTCGTCTAGTCATACCCTCTCCTGATAGACAACTACTGTTCTGACTTGTGTCACCGTAGATCCATCTTGCCCATTCTAGAATTTCACATCGATGGGAATATGCAGTATGGACTCTTGTTTCTGGCCTCTCTGAATCAGCGTGATGCCTTTGAGATTCATTCATGTTGGCATGTTGCTTGTTTTTCCCCTGACTGGGTAGCACTCCTTTGACTGAATATCAGTGAGTTTGTTCATCCAGCCTCTAGTTGACAGAACACATGATAATTCTTAGTCTTCTTAACAATCCATGACGTAAGTGGGGGCGTTATCCCCATTTTATGGGTGAGGAGACCAGGGACATGCAGATCTTATTAATATAAAAGGGAAGGTGATTCTCGATGGTGGTAGGTGCTGTGAGGATTATAAGGCAGGGTTACTTGGTTGGGCAGCGTTGTCAAGGTCAGCAGGAAGAGCCAAGCAGAGTGAGGCCTGAGACTTGGTGGAGGGGGAGGGGGAGGGGGAGGTCAGGGTGCCCTTGGCCGTGGTGGCTCTAGAGAAGTGATGGGGCAAAAGCCAGATGACTGTGGGTGGGTGAGGGAAGAAGCAAGAAAAGACAGTGACTCTTGACTGCCTCTCCAGAAGCTTGGCTGCAAAGGAGCAAATGGGACCAGCAGGTAGTTCAGGGAGGTGTTTGAAGGATGGGAGGCTCCGGATCAGTGATTAGGCCAAGAAAGTCTTTGAGCCATTTTCTGGTCTCCCAAGTCCCTCACTCTGTTGGAAGAGATCAGAGGCGTTCACCCTCAGCTTCACCCTCGTCTGAGTGAGCCCTGATGCCCCGACCCTGTGCCTACCCACAAGGGGCCTGGAGAGGTTGAAGAGACAAGAGGGAGATGGGAGGCTGCTCCAGGGATCAGGGATGGAATCCGGTTCACGGGCTGGGGGTGAGGGGCCCTCATCTTCTGAGCCAGGCCCCAAGATAGGAATAAGGTCAGGGCAAGGTTCAGCTTGGTACGTGGATGAGGATGAAACAGAGGGTGCCCACCCTCTATTCCAGGAGGACACGGGAATCAGGGAGAGCAGGGAAGGCTTCAAAGACGAGCTGGAGTCCCTCCGAGACAGAGCAAGGTGGGGCAGGCAAAGGGGTTGCTGAGTAGGTCTGAGGGGCCAGCAGGCTGGGTGTCTGCATGGGCAGCAGTTGATAAAGTCCTGGGATTCAGCTGAGCAGCAGTGAACTAGGAGGCCTGGAGGTATCAGCTGACTATAAGTAGGGCCTTGGCTTGGCTTGGCCTGGCCTAACTGACAATTAGATTTTGAGTTGCTTTAGGTTTTGGGTGGGACTAGAAAAGCAGGGAGAGCTCAGAGACCACGCACGTGCATGCACACGTAGATACGCACTGCCCATCAGTCCTAACTGTCCTAAGGACAGGAGGCCAGAGGTGTGTGGGTTAGGAACGCTATGGGCAGCAGCTAAGAGAAAATGTGGCTGAGGCTTTCAATTATATGACCCCAAATTAGCTCCCTGGAGGTAGCTGGCCCCAGGGCTGGCTCAGAAGCCTGTCAGTGTCACCTGAGATGAAGGCTCTTTATCTGTCCTTGCCCTGCAGAAGGCCAGGGCACCTTGAACAGCACATCAAAGGGCATCCAGACTGGTTGTATTATTTACCTGGAAGTGAAGTGTCAGGATTTGAACTGCTGGCCGTCAGGGAGAAGTGTTCCAGCTACCCGCTTCTTTAAAAAAGCACTGAAAGCGCTTGCAGTGCCATCCTTGGGTGCCCCTTTGCTTTTATCTCAGAGGCTGGCACATTTGTAGGCGGGATTGTGAGACACAGTCTCTCCTTTCCCCAGGAATGTGGCTGGCCCTCTCTGCCCTCAGGAAGTTTGCTTCCCTTGGATTAGCTCAGGGGGCAGGTCCTGTGTCAGGGTAATAGGCACCTGGTGCTCCGACATGGGAGGTCACAGGAAGTGATCAGAGGCCTCTGAAAAATTTCTGGGCTTATCTTTGTCCAAAAACAATACTTGGAGTTGAAACAAAAAGGTTTAAGGGAACTGATCTGGCAGCTGTGGGAAGGCGATGTACCTGTGAGGGTCCCTGTGGTCCATTTCAAAGGATACTGTTTTTCCCGCTTCCACCGAGGTCACTGTCTGCGCTGCCCACGTCTGTTTCCTGCTCGCTGCATTGTCTTCTGCAGAGCCCTTCTGTGAGGGGAGGACTCAGCCTCCTCCCTGACGAGGTGGCCCTGGGGATGATAGGGTGGGCTAGGCTTCTCTTCTGTACCACGAGCAGACACAGCAGGCCCTGGGCAGAGTGGAGACCGGCTCTCCCTGGTACCTCAGTCCACCTGTGAGACTTTGTACCCTCGTGGTTTTCAGTCCCCTGGGCTGGACTCAAATTTGTACTTATTTAACAAGGGTTTTTGCAGATTTACTATGGATGAATTTGTCAGATCCCAGCCCTTGGGGGTTACTGCAGGCTGGTGGGGCAGGTTTGGAATTAGACAATGACTGTTCACCTTGGTAAGTGGGGGCCAGAGGTGTGTGTACAGAGCTGGAAGCACAGAGCGGGAGGGTGCCCACCTGTCAGGAGTACTGGTGGAGGCTTCCTGGGGGTGGGAACACTTGAGCTGGCTGCTGAAAGGTGGACGGGGTTGCCTTGTTTTTTTTTTTTTTTTTTTTTTTTTGAGATGGAGTCTTGCCCTGTTGCCCAGGCTATAGTACAGTGGCATGATCTCAGCTTACGGCATCCTCAGCCGCCCAGGTTCAAGCAATTCCCCTGCCTCAGTCTCCTGAGTAGCTGGGACTACAGGCGTGCACCACCGTGCCCGGCTAATTTTTCTGTATTTTTAGTCGAGATGGGTTTCACCTTGTTGGCCAGGATGGTCTTGATCTCCTGACCTCGTGATCTACCCGCCTCGGCCTCCCAAAGTGCTGGGATTACAGGTGTGAGCCACTGCGTCTGGCCAGGTTGATAGGGTTTTATAGGGTGTCCATTGGCATCTGCATAATCACACTGGCCAGGGGTAAGCTACCCACCTTATGATGTATAGCCAGTGTCCTCTAAGGATGAACCCAGAAGAAAATGGAAAGCCTAAGGTGTTGGCCTTCTTTCAGGCACTGCTATTGTCTGACTTCCGTTTGTCCTGCAGCCAGATTTGCTCTGGGAGTCCCACAGTTCCACTGCGTCTGTCACCACTGCTCTCTGTTGACCCGATCTCCCAGCATGGTGGCAGCGGTGGCGTCCCCTCGCCCCATCTGTGCCTCGTGTGTCTTCACTTCCTTGTTCACCCAGATTTTCCTAAGGCTGTGTTCTCTTGGAGTTGGTGTGGGTCATCATTCCCATCCGCCCTATCACCCTGGTTCTGAGGGATCATTGTACATGAGGGTCATTGTTCTCCAGCCGCCAATGCCCGTAGTAATCTTCTTATGTCAACCCAGTGGTGTGAAGGCTGGGGCTTTTTGGAGGTAAAAAGGTCTGTTTGTGAGGCCTGGAGGGAGAAGCTTGAGCAGTAGCTTAGGTGAAGGCTTGCTGAGCAGATGTCAGCAGCGGGAGCTAATTTACTCTTAGTTTTTGTGAAATGGCCTGGGGAGTCCAGGGATGCTGTCCGCTCATCAAGCACTGGGATGGTTCATGGCAGGGAGGAGTGTGTGGATGTTTACTGAGTTTCATTTGGTCGTGAGACCAGGCAGATTAATTTCCTCTGCTCTGAAGTACTTTGCTGTTACCAGCTGGGACTCCACTAATCAAGTTCTTTTAGAAAAATGCCCAATGAGTTGGTGGAGGTCAATGAAGGGGAAGGTTTGACCAACTGGATGGGACCAGCACATTGCAGTTCCTGCTTATGGTGGCAGCAAATGCTTGAGGGAATCCCCGAGTATGCGTCTATTTCTCAGATTGTGGCGTTTGCTATAGGAAATCCTCTTAAATGTATCCTTATCTCCCTAATAAAATGGAAATCGGCACTTAATTAGTAAAATTTTAAATAATTACCCAACATCTGGTGGTTCGTTTATGGCTTCAACCAGATGTGTTTTATTAACAACAAACTTGCTTTTATTATTGGGAAGCTAACTATTAATTTACTAGGCAATATGCCACTTCTAAAACCAGAAAAAAATGCTCACAGAACATACTAGCCCTTCTCTCTTGGGATATTTCATGCTTTAATTAAATGCTGGGTTGAAGGCCTAGGATTCATCCTGTTGGGATAGTTCTTGTTTGGTTCTGAGAGCTGCTCCTTACCACGACTGAGTCACCTTCCTCTCTTGCCCTGCAGAGCGAGGCCTGTCATTACAGTGGATGTCTCCATCTTCCTCCCGGGCTCCATCAACATCACGGCGCCTCAGTGTCACGATGGACAGCAGCCTGTGAACTGCCTGAACATCACCACCTGCTTCAGCTTCCATGGCAAACACATTCCAGGAGAGATCGGTAATGAGCCACAAGCGAGGGCTCAGGATACCCGTTTAGCTGGAGTGGGCTCGTGAGATATTTCGGATGTTCCCTGTCGCTGTTCCCCCTAGCTGGTTTTGCAGGCAGAAAGCACACAGGCTGGACATCCTTTCCCTCTGAGGTTCCTCCCCTTCTCTTTCCTGCTTATCAACACGTTTCTAATTTCTCACAACCTCCAGCTCTAGGACAAATAATGTTGGACCCCACACACTCTTTCTTCAAATATATGAGGGCCAGACTGAAGCCTCGTTGGACCACAGGTCCTGTGGGACTGGTGGAGCTATAGTGCCCGCAGCCTGGCCCTTATGGAACATTAGAGCGTTGGAAAGCAGAAGTGGCGGGACTTTGGAGGCTCCTCATTGAGCTTGAGGCATCAGCCAGATGTCAGGGAGCTTATACCATTTACTATGGAATTGGAGGCCAAAGACAGATGGTGGGATTGGGATGCTGGTGTTACAGAGGCTTAGGTTTCTAAAAGAGGGCTGCTGCTCTGGCAGCTCAGAACTGAAACGAGGCAGGCGTTGTCCTGACAGCTGGTAACTGTCCCTGCCATTTGTCTGAATCGGGGACAATCAACTTGCTAGCCCAGCACTAAAGACTGGATGAAGCCCCAGAACAAGATAGGGCCAGTGTTGATTAGAATTCAGTGCATGTGGTCACCTGAAGGAAGTAAATCTGGAGCTTTATGAAGATTACTAGGTGCTTCATTTTTATTTAAAAGGCTGATTTAATAATAGAAAGAAAAACTCTAGGCAAACAAAAACACCAGCAGGGACCTGGACCTACTGACGTTCTTAGATACTGTTAATGTCACGGGTGACTCCTTTGGTTCCTCACAGTGCAGCCCCTGGCCTAGCAGTGCCAGCGTCACTGGGAGCTTGTCAGAGATGCAGGACTTTGGGCCCCGCTTTGAACTCCTGAATCAGAACCTGCATTTTCACAAGCGCCCCACAAGACTCCTGTGCACATTTAAGTGTGAGAAGCACTGCTCTGGAGCACACATGCCACTCATGCCAAAACATTTATATGAGCAAACTCATTCCTCAGCCGCACCTCAAATGTTCTACTTTATTTAATGTGTTCATAATTTTTGGCTAACTGTCTCATTGGCAGTTTCTCTTGGTGTTCAGGTATATTGAACAAACTCAACAATTAAACATATTTATTTATGTCATTTTTTAAAAAGAGCTTAAAAATTTCAACATTGAATCAACCATACAATAAAACAGCAATTGGTTAGTGAGGGAGGATTCACACATTTTCTTGTGTAGCTCAGTGAGAAAGAGCAATTCCCTCAAGATCAGACAGCTGCTGTTGAAGCCATGAGTTGAATTTGGATCTTGTGATATCTCTCGCCACCTCCCTAATTGTTTAAGATACTGCAGTCTTAAGGAAAAACGCTTTCTGATGGTTCTGGGACTCATGTGCCCGCCATGTAATTAGGTGATCTGCCCTCTATCCATTGCCAGCTCATGATGTCGTTGGACTTGATTAAAAAACATTTTAAAAGAATAAAGATTCAGTTTGATACACATAAGAATGAGAACTATTCTAGAACTCTCAAAAAGGGCAGACACAGAAACTTACTAGGAGATGACAGTCCTGCCCTCGTGGCGCTTCTAAAGGGAGTGACAGAGTTTCTACTGTTTTGGCCTTGAAGCAATGTTACACAGCTTTCACTTACCGCTGTTGCGAAAGTGAAGGTAAATTAGTTTCACTGGAGCAGCGGAGAAGCCGCCGAGATGCAAGTTAGAGCAAAAGTGATTCAGAGCCTGAGCCAAGTGGTGGAGCAGACTCTGATTTGAAGGTTCATGAGCTGAGCGCGGAGGAGACGTGGGTGCCTCCTCGTGCTGTTTCCCACCAGTGGCCCTTTCACAGACTCCTAAGCACAATTAGAATGAAGGTCTAGGCTTAGCCACAGCCCTAGAAGTGTTGGGGTAAAGTGGAAGAGGCAGGCAGTTGGATGGGATCTTGTACGGCACCTTGTGGGTGATGTGGAGCAATGTGGCTGATCTCTGACATTAGGTGGGGTGGGGCCCACCAGTGCACCCTCCCATTAACTTCCCTTTCCTGTCTTCCATCTGCTGCATGGACTCATAGATAAAGTCAGACATCCCTTTAGGCTCTGGGGGCGTGTTTCCCCTACAATCAGGCTTAAAGGGGATAGTAACTGGAGAATTTTGATATCTCAATATAACAAGGCAATGCAGAAAATCATTCATCCCCAACATCTTTCTGTCACTTTCTCTGGCATTCATATCTCAATGTTTGCAGTAGAGAGAAATGCAGAAATCTGCCAAGAACTATGCTGGCAGTGAACTAGAGTGTTTGGGGAGGAAAATGGGCAGGTCCTATAAAATGTGATGGGAAATGAGGTGGGGTGAAAGGTCGGGTAGCAGTGGGGGTCCAGCTCTGTGTGGGGTGTCCTAGAGTTCAGCAAGGAAGGCAGCCTCTTGGCTCTGCACAGTTGGGAGGGTCAGGTCTCCAGTCTTCAGATGGAGGAAGGATGGGCACTTCCAGGACACAGATGTCCTCCACCCCGCTCCAGGCTCAGCAGAGCGTGCTGGCCAACTCTGTCATCTCCCAGGCCTTCGCATCAGGAACTCACGGCTGGGACTCTGGGTTACCAGCCTTCCTATTCTCTGTGCTGGCAGCTGCAGAGGGACCATATGGATGACGACTTTGTCCATGGAATGCCTGGTGAATGAGTGCCAGCCCTGGGCAGGCCTTCCAGGCACCTCTCAATGTCTGCATATCCTGGGCTCAGTTTGTTAACAGGATGACTGCATTTGGGCAAAGCAGTACACAGATACCTGTGGAGGGCTAGGCACCGATGTTCAGAGGTGGTATCTTCTGTGGCATCTGTCTGCCGGCATCTTCAGCCACATGACCTGCCCTCCGAGGACGGTTTTGAGAGCCATAAGCAGTTGACGTTAGTCTTGTGCCTTTGGTGTCGTCTTCTCTACCTGGCAGGGCTCAAGCCTGTGTACAGAGAAGTGACGCCAACTGCGTCTTCATTTCCTGCTTTAGAAATGGGAGACCACAGTGCCTGCTAGATCATGGGGGTACTCAGGACCAGCTCATTCGCAGGACACAAGTTGCTGTGGCCTCGAAGTGCTGTAGCAACACAGGCTTTCTCTGTAGGTGGTGAATCTGCCTTGGCCTCTGAAATAGGCAGTCTCGTCAGGAAAACAGACACCGGACCGTTTATTTTAACAGGAAATTTAGCACTGGGAATGGGTTGACCAGGTCATGGAGGACCGGGTAGTAACTGCAGGAAGCAGCTGCCACATCCAGGTCTGCACCCGTGGCCTCCAGGTCTGTACCAGTGGATCTCAAAGTGTGGTCCCAGTCCAGCTGCATCAGCATCACCTGAGATCTCAATAGAACTGCAGATTCCGACCAGGTGGGACCCAGCATGTGGGTTTTTACAAGCCTCCAGGTGGGTTCGATTTGAGAACCACTAGTCAAGGTTATACGTGGGGTTAACCACTTCCTTGGAGTTATCAGAGCCTGTGAGCTTGGAGAAGGGGCCCTGTGGAGCCGGGACCTGAACCTCTGAGGAGGGGGCTGGTGCTGCTGAGGTCTCTGAGGGGGTGCAATGAGGCTGGCTCTGGGAGAATAGGGGAGGGGGGAAACTAGAATTAATCGCTGTTGGGACCAGCTGCCTTGAGAAGTGGTCGCTGGGATAAGCTGCTAGGGACAGGAAGCAGGGGGGAAGGAGTGAGTCCCTTCACCCTCCTCCGGCCTTGCAGGCTCCCTCCGATGCTCCATATTGGCAGAGCCTCACAGGGAGCCTCTGGCAAAACAGAAATGAGGTTTGCAGGGTCCCAGCTCCAGTGTCACAGTGCAGAATACAGAAGGTTGGGTTGGAGCAGAGGACAACAGCGTCATAAACCAGCACAGCAAACATCCAGTTACATTGAGTTGCTGAAGCCCCTGTTGGGTCATTCCATCAAATAAATAATTAAGGTCCTACAGGGTGCCAGATACCCTGCTTAGCCTGGGGCACGGAGCAGTGAGCAGACAGGCAAAGTCCTTGCACTCCCTCATGGAGCTTGCATTCTAGTGGGAGGGGGGCAGGCAGGCAGGGCAAAAACAACCGGCTGCTCTCTTGCTCGTTCCTGTAGATGAGCTCTGGGCACCTTGTGTGGCAGGCACTGCGCTTAGCACCGGGACGCAGACACAGACTTCTCACCCTCACTGTGGGCTCCTCCGGGAGCAGGTTTACAACGTATTCCATCAAGCACTTTAAGACAGGAGTTCTGCCTGTCCCTAATAATATTATGAATCACTTCATTCTTGGCCTGGGAAGGCTAGCATAGGTGAAGATGGTGAATGCTTTGCCCAAGGGGACCCTGCCCCGCACCCATGGGCGATGCTTGTACCTGCTCACTGGCCAGGCTGAAGCCTAAACTTGCTTGTCACTCTCAGGAGGCTGGGAATCAAGCTGGCGGTTCTGGGCTCTCACCATGCGATATGGAAACCTGGAAGGGGCGCTTTCTGAGTGATTGCATTTTGCACTCTGGCCCAGTGCTCCTATGTTTCCACGGTTCTCAGTCTGAAAAAGCTGTGAGCAAGTGGAATACCTACCCTGCCTCCAGACACGCAACTGAGCCCAGGTCCTGAGAGGTGGCACTAAGGCCATCCACACTAACAGCAGAAATAGGGTTGAAACCAGGTGACTTGTTCCCAGAGCCTTTCTCTGTCTTCAGGGGTGCATTTTTGCTTGAGAGAGTGTTTGCGCACACAGTGTTCTCTGAGCTCCTTCTGGTCTCTTGAGTAGCATGGAAATGGGATAATGAGGCAAATCCATGTGAGGTGAGGAATAGGTAGCCTAGTCTAATAATTACTACCTCATTCCTTTGCGGGACAGAATTGAGGAAAGCTAGTAAAGTTTCCCTCTCCCCTGAGAAACTCAGAGTAACTCTGGAAGGAGAATTTGTTAGAATTTCACAGCTGAAATCTTGTTCTGATGGAGAGCGGGAATTAATCAAAACTCGCTGGGAGAGACTGGAGCCAGACTTGATGAGAGACAGCTGGCTCCTCCCGGCCAGGGCCGTGCAGGGGGGCCCTCGGGAAGCAGCTGGGGGCAGGGCAGGGAGGCGGCTGAAAGTATTACTCGGGCTGATCAGCTTTTCCATCACCATGACATCATTCGACATGGCAAGGACACAAGCTGCCAGAAGGAAAAACCTAAAGATGTGAAATGTGCTGTTGGAGCAGGCCCTAATCAGAACCAGCACCCTCCCAGGGACAGGGGGGCTGGCCAGGCCGGCTTACATCAGGGCTGGCTGCGGGCAGCTCAGACAGCCTGATGCACCCACCTTCCCAGGGCCCTGACTGAGGAACCCCGCCAGCTGATCGGCTGCTTCCCGACATGTCCTCTGCTTCTTAGAGGCTTCCTCTCCACCACACTTGGGGTGTGTGCTGGTAAAACTACCAGTTATGCTCAGGGCTTTGGAATGAGTGGTCTGCGTTTCTTCTTGCCTCCTCACGCAGGCAGGGTTTCTCATTGTGACTCTTGCTTTTTTCTAGACAAGAGAGTCTGATATAGAGCTAACTTCCTTTGGGGTAATTCGAAGTGTCAAAATTTAAATCAAGGAAAAGTACCAAGTAGGCAGTTCTAGAAATGAAACACTTCCAGAATGATTGCACTTGGTGAGTTGGATAATTTGGTGTGTCTGTGATTATATGTTTTAACATTTTAGAGAAATCTGAAAGGTTAATATGCTGGCATGCACACACCCCGCTGGAGTGGAGCAGCAGTTGCCTTGTCCTCAGCTCAGTTTCTGTGAACTGTGGGGGGTTTTTCCCTCCCTTGAGTTGCAGGAGGGCTGCATACCAGACCAGTACTTCTGCCGTGAGATGAAACTTTGGAGGACTAAAGTTGGCGCTTGTAAATTACCGAGCACAGTGCTTGGCACACGGTGCAGGTTGAATTTGTTTGCTTTTCCTGACTTACCCTGTGTTAATATGGGTTCTCCCCAAAACAGCGCCTGGGTCAAGGATCCAAGTGCACGTGGTTGATAGACAGATGATCCCAAGAAGTACCAGTAAGGAAATGGGACAGTGAGACAAGAGAGGGAGGCAGCTACCAGGCTCTCCAGAGAGAAAGGATGGAGAGAGAAAGAAGTGGATTAGTTGGTTGATTTTTAGGAATTGGCTTAAGAGATCATGAGGTCTGGGAAGTCTGAATTCTTCAGGGCAAGCCATAGGTTGGAGACCCAGGAAAGAGTTGCTATTACAGCTCAAGCCTGGAGGCAGTCTAAAAGCACAGTTTCTTCTTTTGGAGACCTTAGTCTATTTCTCTTAAAGCCTTCAACTGATTTGATGAGGCTTGCCCATGTTTTGGAGGGTAACCTGCTTTATTCATAGTTTACTGATTTAAAGGTTAATCTCATCTAAAAAAATACCTTCTCAGTGACATCTAGATTGGTGCTTGACCACATTCTGGGTACTGTGGCTCAGCCAAGCTGACATAAAATTAACCATCAGAGCAGCCAAATAGAAGGTGTATGACCGAGCAGGTTGCCATGGTGGGCAGCTGGGGCTCAGTCCTGCTGGGGAATCCTGGGAGTCAGTGTAGACCATGCCCCAGAGTTACCCACCCCCAAGGGGCAGGGGAGCTGAGGCCCTGCCTTATGGAGAGCTGCTCTGGGGGCTTGGACAGAGCCACTAGAGAAAGCCCTCGGGAGAAGAGGTCAGGTACTGGCAGTTGCAGCTTAGGCTGGACAGCAGAGAGATGGTAAAAGCCAAGCGGATATGGGTGGGGGAGCAGTACCATCCGTTCTGTCTTCCTGTGTTCGTTTCCACCCAGGTTTTCTCTGAGCTCAGCTAGTTCATCGCTGGCAAAATAGCCCAGTCCCGCTGTTTTCTCCATTGTCCCCTTCCTGAGGGAAGGCAGAAAGGAGGCTGGTCAGGGGACACTGAGGAGAGTCTGCTCAGCAGCTGCCCCCAGCACATGGGTTCACTCAGCTGTGGCCTCTGTCTTGTCTTCCAGCAATGTGTATCTCTAGCCATGACCTTGCTTAAGCAAACTTGGAAATGCACTTCATTTAAATTTCACCTTTCTTACTGCTGGGCAGTTGTTCAGGGAAGTTGTGATCAGTAGGAAGTAGACTGACCAGAGTTCAGTTCTAGATCTCTGCACTTGTTTGGACCTGCTATCCATGCATTCAAAACAATGGGGAGGTTTTGGTCAAGTCATGTAAAACATGCAGCAAGAACAAGCGTGGCGGGAATAGCCTGGCACGAGAGGAAGAGGGTCCTAGGTTCAGCTCTTCAGTGGGTGGCTCTCTGGCCTGGAGCAAGTCTTGTTCCCTTGTGGAGCCTCAGTTCCCTCACCTGTAATCCCAGCTACTCAGGAGGCTGAGGCAGGAGAGAATTGCCTGAATCCAGGAGGCGGAGGTTGCGGTAAGCCAAGATCGCGCCATTGCACTCCACCCTGGGTAACAAGAGCGAAACTCCGTCTCAAAAACAAAACAAACAAAACAAAACAAAACAAAACCATGAAGATTTTTGAGCTAAGTGGTCTCTAGGATTGCCTCAAAACTTTGCCAGTCTGAGTCTGTCTCTTTTCTTGCTGTTGTCCCCATGGGAGCTGGTATGTGACACTTGGACAGGCACCAGTGTTTTCTGTGTGGGAGCACTTTCCTGTATGCATTATTTTCTTCTTAATAATGGCACCTCCTGAGAGTATCCAGGTCTTAGGTCCCTTCTGGTGACACAGCCTTGCCTTGTAAGTCAGTTGTTTGCTGGAATTAAACAAGTTGGGGCACACGGCTCTGCTGACTAGGAATTTGCCAGCTTGGCATGGCAAGATCCCTGAGATGGCAGAGGCCCAGGGAGGCCATTAGAAGCATAAAAAATATGCCCTGTGACAGGTGCAGAATGCCCATTTAGGCCACCTTCCCTGTCCTTCCCTGGTGGCTGATCCCTTTGATGTCATTAAAAGCCAGAGCCTTCCCTAATGCCTGACTTCACTTACTTAAATGCCAGTGGGCACAGGGCTGCTTGTTACTGATTCTAAGAGACAGGTGTGTGGAGGCGGGCCGGGACGGGGTCACCTGCCTTCTGTTGCTCAGCATCTCGCCTGGTCGTTCCAGGGTCAGAGATTCTGTTCTCTCGCTTTAAAAATGGCGTGTTTCCCTAGATCCCCAAAACAGTTAAAAAATAAAAAGTGTTATGCAAGGGATGAACTCTGACACAGAAAAGCAGTGAAATAGGTGTATTGACACCAAAGTCATATTTTCCTTATGAAATATATAGCTATCTGTTTACTTATTGACTCTGAAATAGCAGAGGTGGACCCTTCCAGGTTTATCCAGCATGCATTTGATACTGAGTTCATCTTCCTTCTTTCTTTCTTTCTTTTCTTTTCTTTCTTTTTTAAATTCAGGGCCGTGTTACAGAAGTTCTGCCATCGGCATTACACATTCAGGTATGGGGGGTGCTGTCTTCTTTGCAGGAGAGGACCTCAGTACAGGGGCTACTGTGGTCACAGTTTTGTTGAAAGGAAAGGCACCACAAAGTCTTTGATTACCACACTCCGCTACCTGGGAATAAAGGCAACTCCAGCCTTCATCTGGGTTCCTGTGCATGTGAATTCCATGAAGGCAGGAGTTGATGCCTGCGTTGTCATCGATACATCCCCTGTACCTTCGGCAGTGCCTGGATCATAGTCAGTGCTCAGTCAGCCATGGAGAGCACATGGTCTAATCCATGTAGTGGTTACAGAGCACGACTCAGCTCTGCTGAGATGAGTTAGAATTATCAGACGAGGTGGTTCCCTTGTGTTGGACATAAACCATGTGCTTTATAGAAATCAGTATTACAGAAGGCCTTGATAACTTCAGCAGCTTCTGGTAACGTTCTGTAGGTTTGTCATGATGTTTGCTTGTTAGGACACTGACCTATGTGGGGTACAGCTCATTGTTGATGCGCATGTTGCTGGCTCAGTTGATACCTTATGATGGCATGAGGTTTGAATCAGGGCGAGCCATGAAGCATGGCACACGGAGAGTTATTAGAAAGGCAGAGGACATCCTGGTTCTCTCTCAATTCTTTGAGCACCCTCGCTGTGCGCTGCTCTCTGAGCAAGTCCCAGCTTGGGGCTGCAGTCTCCTGCCACCGAAGGGTGGGCATCGTATGAAATGTGCATGTGATTCCATGACAAGGAAAGGAGGTGGCCTCATCACAGCCTATCTGTTGTCTGTCCTTGCTGATGTTTTGAACTCTCATTTATTGGCAGGCCTGAATTATGTTCTGACAGCTGATGTGGCCACAAAGGAGAAGGGCCAGGTGCCCCGGGTCTACTTTGTGCTGCTGGGAGAGACCGTGGGTCAGGTCACAGAGAAGCTGCAGCTGACTTATATGGAGGAGACGTGTTGTCACTACGTGGCCCATGTGAAGGTCAGTCCTCTCCTTTTTATCCTCAAACTTTGATCTCTGCAGATGTTCATTTGGAGTTGGTGGGAACTTTTATTGTGCATTATGTGTGCTCTTCCAAAATTTTATTTCACAGGGAGGAGCAATTCATTTCTGTTTTTGTTTTAAAGTTGGTCTCTGACAGCCCTTTTATGTATCTTACTGTGTTGATTTCAGCCTCTGAGGGGGATTGTGGTGGTCTAGGAGACCGGCGATGATCCCTGATTTTGACTTTTTCTTCTGAGAGGTTTCTCATCCTCTCCTCTCTATGAGCCTCAGTAGTCTTTTCAGAGGACAGCCTTGGAAGCACGTGTCTCTGGGTCTGCAGTGATGCTGGATCACACTGCACCTGATGCCTTTCTCAGTGGTCTGTTACAGATTACCTCATGGTCACAGCTAAGGCACTTTAAAACTGGTTGGACTAGATATTTCCCCCTTGACTACTTTGTTTATTTTAGGAATGCATTTTTTGGCAACCTTTCCCCTTGCACTCTAAATAAACTTGCAAATGTTTTTCTCCTCTTGAAATTGTTTGTTAAATACACTTTGCTGCTAATTCAGGAGGCTAGGCTTTGATTAGCTGCAGAGTGGCCCCTGCAGGCAGGGGGTGGCAGGGCAGAAGTCCTGGCAGTGCCTGATGCTGCAGGGATGGCCAGACACTGACCCATGGGCAGAGTCAGAGAGCGGAGGAGGTGGAAGAATGCACTTAATCCAGGCCATATGGTGGGTGGAATGAGCGTGGGTTTTGGAGACACAGATCCAGTGTGTATTCCAGCTGGACGAGTATTGTGACCTCTCTCGATCTCAGTCTCTGCATCTCTAAAATGGACACAGTAATCCTTACCTTGAAAGGTGGTCATCAGGATTAAATATTATATGATGAATTTACTTAAAAGACCTTGAATGATGTCTGATAAATAGAAAGCAACCAACTTACTATTATTTGGTTGGGCTGTGTATAACTGCCAATATTCTTTTTGACTTACACAAATGGAAATATCATATAGTTCAACCTAATATTATTTATTAGCCACTGGATTTCTGACTGATAGTTTGAAAAGTCTGCAGATTGGAGATGAAGTGTCCTCCTGTTAGTGCCAGAGCAGAAGAATAACAGCTGCTTCTAGATGCTTCAGTGTTGTACATAGAGAAGTGCCCCACACACCCATGGCACTTGGCCTGGCCCAGAGCCCATGAGTCCATGCCCCTCAGATGCTTTTCAGTGGGGCTGGGCTGTGCCTTCTGCCAGGACTCCTGCAGGGACCTGCCCAGACCAGCTGCCCAAGGGCTTGGGGTGCTGGCCATTTATAAAGCTGCTCCTGAGCCTGTTAAGCCCTACACCCACGCCCCTCAGTCTTAGATTACACTGGTTTGTTGGTGCCTTTGGTGGGGTGTGAGGCTCCTCAGGACGGGCTCATGGAAACACTGTCAGGCCTCTAAATGCCTGTGCTTGGTGTTTTTATACCCACTGTGGACAGGGCAGCTACTCTTGGGTTTCCTGATGCTTTCCCTCAGGTTTCTTTGCAACCTCTTGCTTTGGCTGAGAAGTTACCCTTTGTTCCTCGTTACCAAGGATACTGGCTAGAGATGCCACGTAGAGCCTGCAGGTCTTTGCAGAGTACACTCAGAAGTGCAGACCAGAGGCAGGGCTGTTTCAGTGGTGGCCCCTGAGGGTTACTGGGAGGAGCAGGGCTACGCACGGGGGTGGTCCTGCTACTTCCTGATATCTAGGGTTGCCAGAATTGCAAGTGAAACTATAGAACTCCTAATGAAATCTGAATTTCAGATCAACAATGAATCTTTTTTTTAGTATATGTCCCAAATATTTCATGAGAAATATTTATTCTAAAAACATTTTGTTGTTTATCTGAGATTTAAATTTAACTTGGCATCCTGTTGGCAGATTCAACTCTACTTATATTCCCCTACCTGACAAGCAGCATTACTCCACTGAAGCCAGAGCTGGCCGACCAGAAGGGAGGTGGCGATGATGGTTAGGAGAGCCGGGAGGCGGAGATCAGGGCCCTCGGGATCCAGCACAGACCTTGATGTGATTATTTTGGTCATTCTAGGGAGAGCAAGAGAGCAGGCCTGCTCTAGTGAATCGGGACCTAGAGTCATTTGGATATGGTGATTGCTTGGCCATTTTCTCACTCAAGGAGGTGGATCTTTGAGGCCTTTATGGTTTAAGAGGCAACATTGCTGCCAAGGAACACTCCAGGTGGCTGATACTTTATAGCCGCGAGAATGTTTATTTCTGCCAGTTACTGTCTGGGCTGTCACAGAGGACTGGGCGAATGGCAGAGTGCACCTGTAGGATGAGTGCTGATGGCCTGATGGCCTGGCTAGCTGTCCACAGGGGACGCAGCAGCCACCACTGCTGACTTGCCAGCTGTGGGAAAACAGCTATGGAAGCTGAGGCAGGAAACAAGGATTGGGGGAAGGGAAGGCAGCTGAGCTGCCTCCTGGAGCAGGGCCTGGGGCCTGGGGAGTGTTGGTCAGGGCCCCGGAGCAGGAGGCAGTCTCTACTGCAAGGGGAGCTTTCTCAGTGGAGCCGGCTCTTGGCTTTACGGACAAGTCAAAGAAGATAAATAAAAGCATTCTGGCTTATCACACACCATATGGCCAGCAGACACTGGGCCGGCATCAGGGCTGGCCTGCTTTGTTTAGGCTGTCTTTAGGTATTCTTTTCTTTAAGTCTATTCCAATCTTTTTTTTCTCCCTCTCCTTTTCCCTGGACATTTTCTTTCCATATATGGTGATAAGTGACTTTATCACGGAAGACCGCGCGGGCTAGCACCTGCTTTCCAGGCTGTCTTGTACCCGACTTTCTTCCATTCACCATCTTGGGGGACGCCTCCGGGTGTATAGGATTTTGTGATAAGCCACATCCTCCTGGCGAGGGCGGGAGCAGGTACGTTCTCAGGGCCTCACTGTGGTCAGCAGAGCTGAGGCAGCTCCTACTGCTTCCTTGGGTTCTCTGCCTCAGAGTCCACACACCCCAGCTTATCTTCCGTCTTTCCACAGCCCAGTTTTGGGGATGGGGCCCCTCCCACTAGTCAGTCAGGCTGGAGGCTTGTGGAAGATGTCACAGTCACAGGTGAAAGCCCAACACTTGCCCTCAGCATCCTGCTCTCCAGGCCCGGCCATCTTCTGCCAGCACGTCCCCCGTGCCCCAGCTCTCGTCATGACCTGCCCCTTTCCTCCTGGAACCTGCTCCTTACACTTCTTTGTCTTGGTTCTTATGTTCACAGAAGTCAGAGTCCTGGTTTGTGTCATATTCACATAGAACCATGCACCACCTGCGTGATTTTTACTTTTTCTTTTGTCTTAAACGCATACTTCCTGCAGTATCTTCTTTCATATTTTCTCTTTAAATCAGCCAACGTTTGGTCTCAAAATAATTTAAAACAGAAACTTTGTACCTTTATATAAGCAGAACACCATCTAACATGGGCACAAAACAGAAAGTAACTGTAAAAATAAACATACTGAAGACACAGCAGTGTCCTAGGATTCTAGCTGGATTTCATTGTTTGTCAAAGTCGCTGATGAAACGCCCACTCCATTCGTGCGTTAGAAACGGAAATTAGCAAGTTCTAGGGAAGGCTCAAGGACATACTGATGCCACACTGGAACTTGCCTCCGGATGCGTCCGGAAGGACTGAGGGGAGTTGACCTGGGAATAACTTTTCAAATCCGAGTGTTCTTTTATGGCGTCCTGCCTGTGTGCCATGGAAATCCACCTGGCGGGCCCCACGTGGGAAGCCCTGGCCTGTTCCACTTCGATCAGATGTGCCATGCCCCATCCTGTCTGCTGAAGGCTTGCTGTTTTTCAAGGCTCAGTCCACAGGCTTTGGACATCCTCAGTGCCACCTACTGTCCTAGGCCCTGGGGGTGCCACTGTCATCTTCCTGACTTCTTGGACCTTGTTCCATGCTGCCTGACTCCTGCTTTGGGAATACTTGTCAGGTGGAACCTTGTTGGAGTGACTAATTGAGTAAGCTGGAGCGTGGGGGTCACAAAGGCTTCTGATACAGAGTGGGGCCTGCTCACCTCTCTCTGGACTGACTGCAGGGAAGTGATGGCCTGAGATGGTGGAGAAGAGAGTTTTGGATGCACAGCCTGTGCTGAAGAATAAATGCAGGTGTCCCGTTGCTACTCCATTGTTTTCTGGTTTATGTGTTCTTACCTGGATCACAGCTGTGCTGCATCTTCTGATCCTTCATAATACCTTGAGAGCACAGGCCTTTTGTGAGATCAAAGCTTTTGCATGACAAGCAAATAAGCAGGCTCTTCAGGACCTGGGAAGCCATGGTGACGTTCTGAGTCTGATGCAGGGATGGCAGAGGAGCCCAGGCAGTGTGGGGGCAGTGATGCCGTTCCCTGCTGTGAGGCTCCGTGACACCCTCTAGAGGCATTCAGAGAACTCTTTTTGAACAGAACCATGTGTCAGACACTGTCAGGAAAGCCAATAATGGGATTGTTGTTCAAAACACAGCAATCTGCACTAGACAAGGGAATACGCACACTGGCTTTTCCGAGAAGCTGCAGACGTTCATGACATTGTTCTTTTATGTTCCTGAAGGGTTTCTCCGGGAACTTTGAAACCTATGTTACTGCAGCTCCTTCCTTGCTTTTGTGGACAGATGCTCATCCTGGCCTGGCGAAGGGTGGGACGTCACCCTGGCCACCAGAGGTCACGCCCTGGGCTCTGCACAGGTGTTTTGGCCTCTTTCCATTTTCACATCCAGCAAAATGCCTGGGGACGATAGCTTCAATCCCATGGCATGCTGTGAGTTTAGAATGTTGGGTGCTGGTTTTCACAGGTGATCCAGGCTTTTTTAACTTGTTTAAGCAAGAGATAGTTAAGAAAGGGAGATTAAGTTGGAGTTTATAAGAACTCTGAGAAAGAGGAGAAGAAAGAAAAACAGCAAAAGTTTCTTCTTTATCTGGAAAACAACATGCTGAATCTCTGGGTCACC